GACCAGCGAGCGAACAGAGCAGGTGAACGCTGTATAAAAGTGTCAGAAATTTTAATAAACGAACGCGAATGAGGCTGCACCGAGTACACTTTTCAAATAAACGAACGGTAAAGTCAAGCTCGGAGAACTCAGACCAAAATAACGAACGCACGGTAAGTGTACCTGTCGACTTTGACACATGATGACAAGTTTTTCTCTGTTTCTTTAGCAGCCTACATCTATACGAACACCGAATATAATTAACTTTGACACATTGTCAGATTTGTTCTCTATTTATATGCAAGAATCTACAAACTTTCTCATCAAATTTAAACGCTTTAAGATGAACAGCTCTGACGAGGATTTTTTATTATTATTTTTTTTGTTACGTAATTGTTTGATAAATGCGTAGGTTCGCTCCAAGTTAATTAAAAATAATTGAACAAATTATCGTTTTTTTTTTTTAAATTTTTGTTGTTACCTACTTGATATGAAGCTCGTAGGAAAAATTTTGTTCCTAACACGTGCGCAAAGTGTCTTTTCCGCACGCAAACACTTATCCGAACTCCGCTTCGCGTCGTTCGTATAACTGTGTTTGCGTGCGGAAAAGTAACACTTTGCGCACTTGTTAGGAAAATAACTATTTCCTACGAGCGTGCGCAAAGTAGTACTTTTCCGCACGCATTTCCGGGCTCAAAGTTACACTTTTCCGCACTCAGTGCGGATACAGGCCTTATCCGCACTGAGTGCCGAAAAGTAATTATAATTGTCAAGCAACAATAAGTGCACCTGTCGACTTTGACACATGATGACAAATTTTTCCTCCGTTTCTATATCAGCCAACATCTATACAAACACCAATTATGAATTAACTCTGACACATTGTCAGATTTGTTTGGTTATTTTTTGATAAATGCATAGGTTCCCTTCAAGTTAATTAAAAATAATTAAACAAATTATCGTTTTTTTTTTTTAATTTTTGTTATTACAGACTTTGTTATTACCTACCTGATATGAAGCTCGTAGGAAAAATTTTGTTCCTAACACGTGCGCAAAGTGTCTTTTCCGCACGCAAACACGTATCCGAACTCCGCTTCGCGTCGTTCGTATAACTGTGTTTGCGTGCGGAAAAGTAACACTTTGCGCACTTGTTAGGAAAATAACTATTTTCTACTTGCGTGCGCAAAGTAATCACTTTGCACACTCATTTGCGTGCGCAAAGTTGAATTTTGCGCACGGAAACTCTTTGCGCACTCATTTTTGTTACGCATAATTACAATAGTTATACTTGATTTTTCAATGTTTTGATGGTTTCTGAATAAACTAATATTCAAAATGAAGGGTTTTAGTTGAAATTAACGCTTAGTTAACATGATGTTTCCTATCAAAGGTGTCCAAATTGAACCAGCCTGTACTGCTAGGAATTTGTAAAATTTTTGATATTTAAGAGACTCTCATGAAAATATTCTTGCTGATTCTAGAAATTCAAGAAGATGTGAAAAGATATTTGGGGATTTAATTTAAAAGACATTCTGAGGAATTCCAATAGATTTTAAACGATTTTTGAAGATTTTGATTTGATTGATTTTTCTAATACTTTTAACAATTCAAAGTCTACTTTTTTAAGATACTTGTAGAAAAAATATTGTTCCTAACACTTGCGCAAAGTGTCTTTCCCGCACTCAAAGCTTATCCGAACTCCGCTTCGCGTCGTTCGTCTAACTGCTTTTTCGTGCGGGAAAGTATCACTTTGCGCACTTGTTAGGAAAATAACTATTTTTTACTTGCGTGCGCAAAGTTATTACTTTGCACACTCATTTGCGTGCTCAAAGTTGAACTTTGCGCACGGAAACTCTTTGCGCACTCATTTTTGTTACACATAGTTACCGCATTTATACTCGATTTTTCAATGTTTTGTGGGTTTCTGGATAAACTCATATTCAGGAAGAAGGGCCTGATGTTATTTTTGTTACAAGTAAGACATTCAGGTTTAATTTTTTTTTGATTTTACACTTTCCGTATCAGGAGCGTGGGCAGGAAAAACCCAGCAAAAACAGATATGAGGTCAGGAGACCATTGGCATGGAGAGCTACCAACTCACTCACATTCCTTTGGAGTATCAGATAATAAAAGTTGGACTGTAAGTTATACTCCTCCATACCAAAATTTTGGCAGGAGAAACGAACTTAACGACTTGTTCAAATCTTAAATAAACCTTGCTAGCACAACCAATGTTGGAAATAAAGTCAAGCTGACCACTGAAAAAAAAATTGAAAACACAACACATTGAACTAGAGAAAATAACCAATTTAAAGCATCTGGAAATATTTAAGAAGTTTAGGTAGAGCTCCTCTGGATGTAAATCTTCAAACACTCGTAGAAAAAGTATTGTTCCTAACATGCATTTGCGCAAAGTGTCTTTCCCGCACTCAAAGCTTATCCGAACTCCGCTTCGCGTAGTCATTCGTCTAACTGCTTTTCGTGCGGGAAAGTATCACTTTGCGCACTTGTTAGGAAAATAACTATAACTTTGATTAACATAATAACCTAGGAAACGACATAGCGGACCTACAGACGAAAATAGACATTGCAATTATTACAACCAGAGCTGGGCAGGGCTTGAGTGCTTTGTGCTTGCGAAAGTGCTTGAAGCACTTTGAGGGCTTGAAAGCCCTGTGCTTCAAGCCCTTTTATAGATTTGTAATTGGGGCTTGCAAAGTCAATTACTTTAGAAAAGTGCTTGGTAATTTGTAATTGAAAAAAGTAATTCAAGCCCTTTCAATGAGCTTCAATTACTTTTAGAGGGCTTGAAGCACTTTTGGGAGCTTGAAGCCCTTTGAAAGGGCTTGAAGCCCTTTAAGAGGGCTTGAAGCACTTTTGGGAGCTTGAAGCACTTTGAAAGGGCTTGAAGCACTTTAAAAGGGCTTGAAGCACTTTAAAAGGGCTTGAAGCACTTTAAAAGGGCTTGAAGCACTTTAAAAGGGCTTGAAGCACTTTGAAAGGAATTTGAATTGACCATCATTCAACCTCCCACTTAAAAATTTTCGATCGTGTTTTGTCCCTTAATTTTTTTTTCTTTTATTTGAACTTGAACCGTCTTATGTCTTTTCTCTCTTAACAATGGAGGTTTTGGGTTCGAGCTTAGAATGGAATTTAAAAAAAAAATGAATGAACTTATTATTAAAATAAATAATTAATTTATATTGGTACCCTATTTAACTTTATCACTGGATTTTTTCCACTTTTCCCCATTGAACATTTTGAAAACCTTAAAATTGAAGTACCATGTAGTACCCCAAGTACCCCAGAACTACATCTCAAAAAAAAACATACTACTGCTACTCTGTGAAATGTAAAGTTCGTCTCTACTATACCAATTCTGTGTGATGAGTTTACGCGGTAGCTTATGCCACTTTGAGAATTTTATTACAAATTCAAAGTGCTTTAGGCACATTTAAAGTGCTTCAAGTACATTTAAAGAGCTTGAAGCCCTTTTCAAGGCACCTCAAGCACTTTTGATGTGCTTCAAGCACTTTTCAAATCACTTTGAGGGCTTTGTGCTTGTCAAGCCCAAAGCACTTTGAGGGCTTTGTGCTTGTGAAGCACTTTTAAAAATAAAAAAGAATTTGTGCTTGAAATTGAAGCACTTTGATAGAGGGCTTAGGGCTTAGTGCTTCAAGCCCTTTTACTGAGGGCTTTGCCCAGCTCTGATTACAACACATGTGGAGACGACAGTGGCCAGAGCTAGCCAAACATCGATGGGCTCTAGGCAGAATCATGCCAAACATAGGAGGACTGCAGGCCAGCAAAAGGAAAATTCTAAACAAAAGAGGAAAATGGAAACGAGATCTAAAAAGGGCTGTTCTAGAATATTATTTAACGACAACGTGTTCGGCGTCATCTTTTTCGTCGTTCGGCTCCGAAATTTTGACAGGCATGTGATTTGTAAATTGAAACGTCTGGGCCCCGATTCCAATTGACGATAGCAAATGGAATCTCCTAGCTGATCCAGTCAAATGCCTGTCAAAATTTCGGAGCAAATCAACAATCTAGAAAGAAATCAACGAAAAATATGGACAATGCTGAACACGGTTACTATGTACTAAAACCCTGAAACCTAAGGTTTGTTTGTTAAGTGTTGTTCGGAGCAGCACTTCCAGCTTTGGGGCGTTCGTTTGTGTTATGGCAATGAACTGACGAACGATTATTTAACGACAACCTGTTCGGCATTGTCATCTTTTTCATCGTTTTGCACCTTTGAATATAAAACTACAGGAAGGAGCGTTTTCTATCTGTCACTACAGACAACGCAGGGATGGAAACAGCCATTTTGAGCCTCCAAGTTTGGACTCATCATTTGTTTTGGTGGTTCGCTGTGTCCTCATTCAAGTGGATGTTTAATGGATTTTAGCGGTTTTAAGTGATAATAAGTATTGGAATTAGTGAGAAAAGAGTGAGTCATAATATTTACAATCATATTTAAATAAATATACGCCTCTGCCAAACCGGAAATACTAGTCGGCCATATGCAACCTCCACATATTTTGGTCGCGCAGATTCGAAGTTATGCTCCTTAGGTTTTTGGTCGCGCAGATTCGAAGTTATGCTCCTTCCTGTAGTTTTATATTCAAAGTTTTGCACCGAAATTTTGACTGACATGTGATTTGTAAATTGAAACGTCTGATCCAGTCACGTGCCTGTCAAAATTTCGGAGCAAATCAACGAAAAATATGACAAGCTGAACACGGTTACTATGTACTAAAACCTTGAAACCAAAGGTTAGTTGTTAAGTGTTGTTCGGAGCAGCACTTCCTGCTTTGGGGCGGTCGTTTGTGTTATGGCAATGAACTGACGAACGTTATCACAGACGTTATTATGAGCCGTGTTGGAGACAAACCTCAAGTATGCATAAAGCAGAAGCCAGCGCGATCTTAACCTGTGATGCAAACACCCTGCGCCAAGGCGAGAAACGACACGCTGGCGCGTCACCACTGGTACTTTGGCGTGCTATAGGGCTGGAGATTTGATTTACACAGACCTTATGAGCATGATATTATAAGAACTTTGGGCTATCCTACGTAGAGGTTTTTCTGCATCCCAGCCGACAAAAAAGCAAAAAAAAGTTCATAAAGGCGATACCAATATCAACCAATTTCGGATGAGGAAACGGTGACGTCACGGCAAGTTTAGCAGTTTAGCCTGGTCTTGGGTCTGGGTCAAATTGGTAGATAGAGGCTTTCGTCTATCAAATACCCCATTTCAGCCGCAGACCTCAACTCTTGGCGTAAAAAACATCAGCCGAGTATAAAACACTATAGGTAGGTCATAGGAAAAACGAATTCGAACGTTATAATGTTAGTAAAATCACCTTTTCTACATTTAAAATCTACGAAAAAACAAGCACAACCTGATTCGCAAGCATCCCATCTAGGTCTGCGGGTGGCATCACCACTATAAGCTGCTATGCTGCTAATAGTGGTGACGTCACTCTCAGGCCCTGCTGACTCGAGAATCGGAGAACGTACACCTATGAAGATCAGCAATCCTATCAAACAAAACAACTAACCTTAACCTTACATTCTGTTGATTGATTCTTTTTAATCTTAGAGGAAAGTTTTCAACAGTAGTTCAGTAGTATGCAATCTGAAATCAAAATCCCTGTGTACGCAATTAACTAATAATTAAAATGGAAGTTTGCATATCCAAAGAAGATGCAATCTCTTATATGGCACATGTAGAGTGGGCCGAAGTCACTAGCTGGCTGAAAACCGAATTTTCAACCAATTCGTCTGAGTAAGTCCAAGCTAGGCCTTACTTATCTTCGATAACTAGCTATTTTCCTTTCTTTTCAGTGAGGAACTTTTAAAACCTCTGGTAGATCTGCTATTCAATATCATTAATCGTGTACAAAACAACTTCTTGTGGTATAATTGCCTAGAAGCTCAAATATCTGATACTCTAACAGTAACTTTGAAGACACTAAGATTGTTTGTAACGAAAGCCAATGTAGGAGATTACATTAGTAAACAACCTCAGTTTTTTGATGCTCTAAATACCTTGTCTGTTTGTCTTTTAACAAAGAAAAATGGCCCAGAAGTGTTCACTAAATACCTTTTACAATGTTTGGTGAATTTAGTAAGTGCTGGCAGTATTCAACAGAAAGGCCAGCTGAGAAAAATAATTCGGGGGCATAAATTGAGTCATAACATTCAGAATTTTTTTTTGACTCAATGGGGATGGCCAATTGAAAGCAGTGCTTTAATATATAATCTTTACTATGACATTGAAATTACAGACCGTACTCTTGTTACAGAAATTATCAAATTTCACACTAAAGCTACATATTTGAATGAATATTCTGATTTCTTGATACAAAAAATCGTTTCTGAAAACTGTGTGTGGGAATATTTTGTAAATTTTACTTATCAGAGATTGAATCTGTTGAGGCTTTTACGATATTATATAGCAGAACAAGTAGCAGAGTCAGATCCCATGTCAATCCAAGTAGAGCAATTACCTGAGTCATGTTTGAAATGTTTAACAATTATGTTCAATGAGAGTGCAGTAGTGGTTTTTCAAGTAACAAATGAAGGTGAATAATCTAAGAATTATTTTTCAAGTATGCTTTATAGATAGGTAATTTTAGATGATTTAGCTGCTGTAGAAGAAGTCTCATGTGTCCTAAAACTTCTTGCATGTATATCAAGTAATGAAAAAAGTTTGGCTTTTTTACAAAATAATAAAGATCTTCTAATAAATGCCAGCGTCTTGCTCATAAACTTACATCGAATAGGAAAAGCATCAAACAATGTGTTCACTCCTATACTTAAGTTGGCAGAAATAAACAATCCTAGTGAGGATATTACGAGAAATCCTGCATTTGGCTTTAAGGCCGACTTGGTTAGGTTAATTGGAAATTTGTGTTGGAAAAACCAGATGATGCAAAATTTGGTAAAAGAATTTGTTACCTAACAGTAATTATATCTATTTTGATTTATTTAATTTTTTTAGGCAAGAGAAGGAGAAATAATTCCAATACTTCTAGACTCATGTAATATTGATGCCAAAAATCCGTGTATCCTTTTTGTTTGAAACTGCTGTTCAATATTGATTGCAGAGTAGGTATTATTCACAAGGAACTACAAGGAACAGAAAGCTAGTATATAATAAATATGTACTTTTCAAGAGAATAATAGTGATTATGTAAGAGTTTGTTGACTCTTACATGATTACAACAAATAATGTAAATGGCTGAGCTGTTTCTCATATAGATATCAAGAGCTTCCCTATACATCCCCCATAAAAGATGCAATTCTTTTTTCACTCGCTCTATGTGATTTTGCCAAAGTTAATGTGATGTTTATCAGTCCCAAATACTGTACGTATACAGAATACTGCAGTTTTGAAAGCCAATCATAATGTTCTGGTTATTGTTTAAATTTCTTTTACTTAAAAACATAGGATAACTTACCTTATATTAGGCATTGATTTATGCGATATTAACCAATAATTTACTAATTCCAGATCACTAGCAATGTCAGCCTGAATAGTATTGTCTCTATTACAGTACACAATCCTTGTATAGTCAAGTCCATCTACCCTGGCCAGTATCGGTTCAAATTCTATGGAAAGGCGGCCGCAGACTAGTGTATGTTCTTCCACTAAATTTATTTGTAAATCTTATCACCTGAAAAGCGATTCTTTCACCCACTTAGAACGTTGTTTCATCAATATGTCTATTTCTCTTTTTTTTATCATGCATGTATGTATATGCCATCATGCATAATTCAACTAACATGTTTGACACTCAAGCAGCCTCGTTTGGGGATAACAGTGAGTGTCACACATATCACATGCCAATCTGTGGCCTTCCCACAGTATGTCACCTTTACTATATCAGCAGCACAAAGCCTTTTGAGTTAGTTATAAACAAATGATAACAGATTGAACCTTTAATAAAAGCTGATGTAAATGATTGAAAAGAATATGCTCCTGTCAAGTATTTCAAATGCTATGTATTTTTCTTAACCAATTATTTTAGTCATAATACAATGGGTTATCTATGCTATTCGTAACATTTGTGAAAACAACTTAGAAAATCAGTCAGTTATAGCTGGTCTAACCCAACGGGGATTCATCGATTCCAAAGTACTACAAGAATTTGGACTTACCTTATCTTCTGAGGAAATGTTAAGTATTGGTATTGTAGGTTTAGATTTAAATAAATAAATGGTCATTCTGAAAACTGTTTTTATTTAATGAATGAACTGAATATCTTTATCATATTATAAAAATGTTTATTATCAACAAGACAACACAAAAGCATATTAGGTATGAAATGGGTTAATAACGTTAGTGAAATGGTGATGAGGTTAGGCTTTCTGTCCAACAGTTAAGGTTACAGGATGTTCTACAAGAAGTCCACGAGTCAGAGCCTAGAAAATACATTACATTAAAAATTTTGAATAAATTGTATTATGAGCCCTTGCAGAACGATAATAAAGGATAAGGAATTTTATATTTAGGCAAAAACAGTGCCTCTGAAACAATCTTTTATTCAAATATTAATCAATTATTCCCTGGATAATATAATAAAGACAATAAAAAAATCAGAAAGACTTAATAATTATGTATTGACTCGGCACACTTTCTAAGTCAATTTAGTAATTACCTCTTCTACTTGATCTTTAGAAAACATATGGAACAGCTTATCAGGAGTCATAGTCATCACTTCAACATTTGACGAGTTCAATTTTTCTTCCATAACTTGTTTTAAGATTGTCAGTGCCGAAGTGGTGGCTTCTTCTAGCGTCATACTCTTATGGTAGACTTCTTGCAGACTCTGTTGGGCACCTTCTGAGCCAGAACCAATAGCTTTGGCATCAAATTGAACAAAAGTACCTAGATAGAATAAGAGAATAAAATACAAACTTGAAAAAAATCGAGGTGTCCCAACTAAGACTGGCCGGATGACAAAATGACATGGGCCAAGAGCAACCAACTTGACCGCAAGCTTTTAAATGGATATCGAGATAGACATGAACAACACCCGGTTGATTGAATGAATTAAATGTAGAGAAGCCAGTTTCACTTGGGATTTGTCAGATATAATTAATTTTTTTTTTTTACTTTGGCCCTCACTGTTGCCATGAATGACTAATGTTTATGGATATTGGGTAGAGATGGCCCTGAGAATATTCTCCAAAGAACTTCTATCGAGAACAGAGAATTCACCGAGAATATTCTTTGGACTTAAATTCTCGGGAATTTATAATTTTTTTAGGTTATTCTAGAATGTATGAGAATATACGGTTATTTTCGAGAATTTCAAGTTTATTTATTTTGAAAATAGTTACAAATATTGTTACATTAAATTTATGTTCCAATACTAATATTATATATAACTAACTAAAGCATCTAGATGACTTAACACCTGTATGTTACAGAAAAAAAAAGAAAAGAAAAATCACTACAACCTAAAAATTACTTCCTTATCTAATAATAATCTAGTAATGAAAAGCACAAAATTATAGTCTGGTCTTATGACAGCAGTTTCAGAAATGTTATTCTATTTTCCCAAAGATATTTTTTTGCTTGCTTTGAAAACTTTTTAGCTCTTATATTACTTTTTATTGTGTCAGGAATCAAATTATACGCTTTTGGTCCAAGATAGTTAACTGATCTTTTGTAGAATTCGCTATGACAATTCGGTATAATTAGCATATTCTTTGTATTATTTCTAGTTGAATAAGCATGAGATATAATATTTTTATCCTGATTTTTATGCATAAAACAGACTACTGAATAAAAGAATAGTATTCTTAGATTATTAATTTTGCAATTATAAAGCAGATGTGTTGGATAAAGGTAATCTTTCTTATAGATGATTTTTAAAATTTTATTTTGAATTATTTGTACTGGTTTTAGAGTAGTTTTGTACATAGCACCCCAAGCCAATATACCATATCTCAGCAGAAATTCTACTAAACTCTGATATAATGTGGTTATTAAAGCCTTCGATACAATATTTCTTAAAATATAGAACCTATGTTTGAAGATTTTAGTTTTTTTGTAATATATTCAACATGTTTTGTCCATTTTAGATTAGAATCCACAAAAATATTTTGCATGTGGTACTTCGTTAATTTTTTCGCTAAATGTATGGATCTCTATAGAGGTAAAATCTGGAAGATTTCTGTCGATTTTCGTAAAAGCTATGTAATTGGTTTTTTGCAAATTTAATGAAAGTTTATGGGTATCTAGCCAAGTTTTGACTCGTTTCAAACCATCTACATACTACCTTAGATCTAACCTCTTCCCAAGTGCTGCCACAGAAGACCATTACAGTGTCATCTGCATACGAAATTATTTTTGCCATTATTCCTGATCTACCAGAGCTTTTATGTAAATATTAAAAAATATTGGGCCAAGGACAGTGCCCTGGGGGACACCTATGTTAATCCTCTGCCGCCCGCTAAAAACGTTTCCAATTTTTGTTTGTTGTTCCCGATCAGTTAAGTAGTCTGTACAAAGCCTCAACACAGTCCCTCTCACTCCATTTGATTCTAAAATCCTCAATAGTATTTTGTGAGAGACCGAGTCGGAGGCCTTGGCGAGGTCCAGAAATACAGCAATACACTTTTTGTCTTGATTTATGTTATTAATGACTTCTTTGAGTAAGGTGTCTATTGCATCAGTGGTACTGACATCCTCTATAAATCCATATTGATCTTTGGATAACAAACCGTTTTTTGTAAAAAAGTTTGTGAGGCGGTTTTTTAGAGACTTTTCAAAAAGTTTAGCAAAGTTACCAATTAAGCTTATTGGTCTGTAGTTTGATATTTGATTTTTAGCACCTGATTTATAGATATAGAGGTATAATTATTGATTTCTTAAAATGGCCAGGTACAGTCCCTGTGTCAAAAATGAGATTATAAATATGCTTAAGGGGTGCCAGTAGATACTGATGCATATTTTTGATAAGTTCTACAGTAATCATATCAAGACCTGGACTACTGTCTGTTTTTAAACTGTTGATGTGCTGAATAAGTTCTTTGTCAGTTACTGGAGTTAGGAATATTGATTTGTTCACTGATTCAACAATATTTATTTGTCACTCATTTGTAAAACGTCATTTATCAAGTGAAAACATAAACAACGAAAATTGATTTTTACCAGCTACTGGCTCTACTGACTTGTAAAATTGACAGCTAAACTGTAATAGTTATTTACCGAACAAATGCGGAAAGTGATACTTTACCGCACACAATGGCAGTTGACTGAACGACGCGGAGCGGAGTTCGGTCAAGCCGTTAAGGGCAGTAAAGGCACTCTCCGCATGTGTTAGGTACAAAATTTTACCTATGAGCATCTACATCTCTAAAAAAAGGCATTGATAAAATTAATTATTGAATCAGATTAATTAATGAAACTAAATTAGATATAGAAATGATCAAAAATCCATTTTCTGAATAAGAGAGGATTTCTGATTAAAAATATCAAATTTTACTTTACCGCACACTATGCGGTAAAGTGCACTTTACCGCACACTTTGTAGTCCACTTTACCGCATACTATGCTGTAAAGTTAACTTTACCGCACACTATGCGGTAAAGTGCACTTTACCGCACGCTCGTAGGTAAAAACTTTTTACAAGTCAGTAGAATTATTTATTTTTAAAAAATCAGTTTTATCATAAGAATAATTGCTTGTAGGTTCCTTCTGGAAGAGTAACAAATAAACTATTGTACATTATACGCCAGGTAGCAGTTTTTACTGGCTCTTGAAGGTGACAAGCTCGCCTGACGGCTCGCTAGTCATTTCCTTCAATCACCAGTAAAAACTGTTTTACCTGGCTAATAATACTATTTCTAGGTTAACTTGGGGTATTTTACCAAGCATCTGAAGACCTATGTTTGAAAAATATTCATTACAGTGGTTTGCCATTTCAAGATCAGTTTCAAAATTTTTGTTATTAGCATCTGTAATTTTTTTAAGAGACTTTTTGTTTTTTTGTTATTGTTTGTTATTTCTGTAATAATTTTATATGTTTTTTTAATATCTTGTTTGCTACTTTCTATTTTTTGCTTATAATATTCCTTTTTTACTGTATTTAAGAGCTTTTTAAGGTGGTTTCGATAATTTTTGTATTCTATCTCTTTTTCTGTTGTAAAGTGTGTTTGAAGTTGCCTTTTAATCCTGTCTCTCTTTTTGATAGCCTTAATTAATCCTTGTGAAATCCATGGCTTTAACTTTTTGTGTTTTGTGTTAATAGTTTTTACAGTTTTGCTTTGCATCACATAATTTTGAACAATGGTAATACATTTACTAAAGCTAAGTTCTGTTTTGTTAGTATCTAATACCTCTGCCCACCTTTCGTCTTCAAAGAACTCATTCAGCTGTCTCCAGTTAATCTCTGAGATCATCACAGTATTGCTCTCGCTATTATTATTATCTTTTTTGGTTGCAATATTTAATGAAACTGGATAGTGATCTGTAATGTCAATCTTTATGATATACGAAAGTGTTGTTATGTTATTTAATTTAAAATTCATTTTGACAAATATGTGATCCAAACAACTTTTTGTTTTTTCTCTAGCAATATTATTTACATATGATTTGAAACCATTAGAGGTTAACATTGAATAATAGGTGACAGTAAGAGGATCTCCGTTATCTAATAAATTAAAAGTTAATATCACCAACCACTACTTCAATATTTTTCTCCGTAATGTCATTTTTAAAGTAATATTCAAAGTCATTTATAAAGTTATTTTTGTTTGTAGAGGGTGACCTGTAAACTATTGTTAAACCATACTTTACACTGCTTACATCTGAAATTATTTTACTTACTATTATTTTTGTCGATTGGAGAGTGTGGCTTTTAACTTCATGGTTAGGTCTCAAAAATTAGCACAACGAAAATGGCACACATCAGAAAAACCAAAGTACTAAATTCGGGCCTATTTAGTGCTAATTTAGTACGAAAAAAAAAATGTATAACTCTACTTTTAAAAAAATTGTGTGCATGTGTGCCAGCTTAAGCTTAAGCTGGCACACTCTAGTTGGATAACGTCGAATCTTTGAGAATCTAGTACTTCATATTTAGTGCTAATTTAGTACATTCATGTCACGCCTAAAAAACTAAAAATGATGTATTTATTTCAGAATAACCACAAAAAAGTGCTAACTTAAGACTTGAATCAGCACACATAGATCGAATCGATCACACGAGAACGGAATTCGCATGCACATATTTAGTACTAATTTAGTAAAACGACGACCCGAAACGAACTAGTATCACATCAGCACAGAGCTAACCCAAACTAACCCGAAAAAATAAATTCTACGATTGTCATGAAATTGAAATATGTTATGCTTCTCGACCTCCTGAACGTCAGTTCTCGTTGGCCCAAAAAGATCCTATGATTAGTTTCGGAGATACAGGGCCAGGTTAACATAAAAATTTGACAAAAAAATAAACATTTCAATGACATATTCTAGGTTAAAAACAGGTAAAAAAAGTCAAAATAATGTCATCCGAAGCTTTTTAGGTTAAAAGCTTGTCGAAAAATGTCATTTTTGGTTATGAATTAAATTAATGACCAGGTGACCAGGAGATTCTGGAGATTTTTCTTATGCTAATGTTTTTTTTTTATCGGTCCTGTATCTCCGAAACTAATCATAGGATCTTTTTGGGCCTAAGAGAACTTATGTTCAGAGGTCGAGAAGCATAACATATTTCAATTTCATGACAATCGTGAAATTTATTGTTTCTCATAAGATCCGTGCGTGGTCCTTTATCACCTTGCACATACAGATGGCACTAGGTTCGTAGTGAGATAAGGTTGAAATGAAAAACAGAAAAGAGCGAGTCCGGGTCCTTATTCTTGAAAGGGAAATAGGGGAGCAGCGTTCCCAAGAGAACGAGTGGTCCGTCTTTCTCAATACAAGCGTCTGCGGATCACACGGGGGCAACGCCACGAATACAGCGTCCATAACGTTTTTGCTCCTTGTTTATTGACGCCTCCACCTCCTTGTCCTGAATCCTGATGAATATTTATTGTTATATTCTAGGATTATTTTGCAATTTCCATTTCGTAAAATATCGATTATTATCGATAATATTTAACTAAAAATTTTAGAAAGACTGATGAGAATTAATTTTTTTGGGATGGGGTATCAAGCCCAAGCCAGAACCCGCGTACAAAAAAATAATTGATAAGTCAGGTGAAACAATCCAATGATACATGGCCCTTCGCCCTCCACAGTTGATTTGTAGGCTGTATCACAATTAAGCTGTTTCTGTAAGATTTTGAAAGACACAGTGTTTAATCTAGATTGTTAAATAATAGCTATTTATATAAATAGCATTAAATAACAAGTAGGTACCTACAATAAAGAAAGGCTTATTGTACGAATAATTTTATGACCGAGCGAGCTTGCGAGCGAGGCTATTAAATAATAAGTCAACACTCAATAAAGCCTGTTTATGTAAGCGTAATAGGTACCTACATAAGGTAAATTTAATGCGTTTATGTAAATTTCCATCTTGGTGATAAATAAAATAAATAATTATTGTACCATTTTTCCTTTCAACAGTTTAAACAGTTCATTTTATAAACTGTGCTCTGATGGTATCTTTTGCTCTAATTTTCTTTTCCACTCAAAAAAGTCTTCCTTATTATTAAATGTTAAATTCTTGGGGTCTAAGTTGTTTCCGTGAAAATTTTTATAATATGTAAAACAATAATGTCTTTGCTGTCGGTAATAAAATCACAGTTTAATGGGCATCTTATGGACTTCATTATTTTTGTAGATGTATTTTTGTTGTGAATTGTGCTCTCCATGTGTTTTTTCAGGTGATAATTGCTCGAAAACTCCCTCTCATGTCATTGATAATGATAATAAGACAAACTATCGAATTATAATTAATAATTTTGTGTCAAATAAATAAAGAGGCGGTAAACAAAAATGCTAGTGAACCTCCGTTTGTCGCGTCGCGCCAAATTTTAAAAGTTTCGTTCGTACACTTTCGATCATATTCGTGGCGTTGCCTCCGTGTGATCCGCAGACGCTTGTTTTCTCAATGATATGCAACTGATAATAGAGGCTCGAATATAAGTAACAAAGACGGAACACTCGTTCGCCTAAGAACGCTGCTCCTCTGTTTCAAGAATAATGACCGGGTAAATCCGGTAAATACCCTGAGCCCATAGGCGTTTTCGATTGGTAGATTAGATTTAATGCGCACTGGCGCAACTGAGTACTGACTGTATTTCCAGCTCTTTCTCTCAGCCTGTTAAAGAAACAGATAGAAACACAAAAACATTTTCTTTGCACTAGATATTTCTACCAACTGGAAGCGCCATGGCCATAAGTTATTTCAGTGATTCATTGTTTCTGCACTGTGCAGAGTGTGTGCAAAGAAATATTAAATAATTTAACTTACATTTGTAGGCCCGGCTATCTTCAGATAAACTTGCTGGTAACTATCTACAAGATAAATGTACTGTTCTAAGATTCTATTGGTCGGCGGATAACTGGCAGACCAATGAGATTACAGATTGCGTTTTTATCTGTCAGATTGCAAACCTGACAGTTTATCAGAAGATGAATAAACCGGCCCTAAATATTAATTCTGACTAGTTTTGAGGAAATTTCTTCGAAAATGAAACTAAGAAGTTCAATTCAGATTTCAGATTTAAATATTTCATAATACATTTGTTTTATAATTATTTACTATTCAATATAAGAATAAAATAAAACATGCTAAATACTAATTAGTTACATTTCAATTCAACGTACTATATAGTATATGTAGTAATAACATTGTATGTAATAAGTATAATCCCTACAATGAAATAATGCACCTAGGTAACTAAATACCTGTATGTGCAAAGTAGCATATGTTTTAAAAAGTAACAATAAAATAAAATCTATTCCTTAAGGAAAAAGTATCCAATATGGAAACATTTCAGACAAAATAAGGAAAACAAAATTTCTATGTCAATTTTGTGATTTTTAGATAGGTACCAAAAAAATGCAAAAAGCTCCAAATGATGTTAAGAAGCTATATTCTTCGAAATTCACCAAAATTCTCCAATGTTCCCGAATATTCTCCGATAAAATTCTCTCAAAATAAATTCTCGAGAATTTGCCATCTCTAATATTGGGTAACTTTTTCTGACAAAGCAATAGAGTAGTGACCTAGGTAGTGACAGTACCACAGTACAGATCAACTAGAACTCTCATTAGAACCAGATAAATAAATTTGAAAAATTGATGGGAGTTTGGGTTTTCTGAGGTTTACCAACCAGGAGTGTAACTGTCTATTATTGGATATTAGGCAAGGTTTTTCCACCAATTCAATTTTCTTTGGATTGAAAAATAACAAAGTTCTTACCAGATGGATCCATATGATAAAGTTGGGGACCTTTTTCATCGATACCAGCAAATAAAATTGCTACACCAAAAGGCCTAGACATAGCTGCCCCATCATCATCCGAATCTCCAAACTGAATGGCCAAGTTGGATACTGCTTGAGCACATGACTCGACAGTCATATTTTCATTGTAGACAAACCAGTGGTTCTGGCATTCGATGCGAGCCCTGAAATTTGGGTTAAGGTATAAGATAATGATCTTAGCTATGGAATTATTAATAGGCAATTTACCTATCAATCATAGTTCTGGAATCGGCAATGAGGCCAGATACAGCACAACCGATATGCTTATCGACTTCTACAATCTTTTCAATAGTCGTTGGTTCCATAAGCTGTGAAGTGATACGTTTTTCAACAGCAAGTACTACCCCTTGGCTTGTAGATATTCCTATAGCAGTGGAACCTAATTTAATAGCTTCAATGGCATATTCTACTTGAAATAAGCGTCCTTCTGGGGAAAAGGTGTTCACTCCACGGTCGTATTCGCTTCTTGTGAGAAACATTCTTGAAAATTAGGAACAATAAAATGTTGTCATTGAGGTTAGAATTAACAATGATTTGGCATAAAATATGTTTTGGGTTTCGTTCGGGAAGTTTTTATTAATTGAACGTGTACTTACTTGTTAATTGGAGATAACCGTTGATTGAAAACCTTAAGAAGAGTGTATTATTTATAAATAATTGATATTTTCAAGAAGTAATGAAAATTTGAAAATGACTATCAAAATAGCGATGTTTAGTGGGGAAGGGGGAAATCTTTAACATTTGACATTTGACTTCCATATGACACTGACAAGACTTGACTCTCTGATAGCGAATTCTATCGGCCAGGAATTGTCGCACCAGTGTTGCCCCGCTCTCATTTGGATCAATTTAAAATAAAAATGTTCACTATTCACTGTTTTTACCCCAATAGAGTTCGCATGTGACCATATAGTTAGGCAAGGATAATACACAGGATTGCTTATCGACCTCGTTTTTGGAAATCGCCGTCATATTAGTGTGGCACTAGCGTAGCGGTCGTAATTTAGAATTTAAAATGAAGAAAATTATTATTTAATTTTGATTAACAACATAATAGTTGTATTCCTTTCAAGAGTTTGAAACAATAGAGCTACTCGCTCCGGTGTTAGTCGACCCCGATTTGAAAGGAACAAGTGCGCTGGCTTTCATGCATTTATAAAATGGTTTGAGTCGGCTTGAGCACTCAGGTGCAACAAACACTTTTCGAAAGGAATAAGTGCGTAAAGCCCCGACGCGGTTCCAGCTCGTCCTAGGTGTGAAAAGGAATACAACTAATAATAGGCAAAGAGGAAGATGAAACCGAGATCTAAAAAAGAGTTGTAGAATGTCAAATATTAGCCGTGCTTCAAGCACGGTGCAGCATAGTGTTCTGTGTTTGAAACGCAAAAGTTAGCAGTTCTCGAAGCGCAGCCTATGGTGCAAACACCCTACGTCAAAGCGAGAAACCACACGCTGCGATGTCATCACTGATACTTTAAATTTTCTGCTAAATATATTTTTTAAATTTTTCTGTTAGATATTTGTGAAAAACTATACCGGTATGAACCGTTAAAAACCGAAATTATTGGTCCGAACCGAATCGAAATATTTCTCTTAGAACTGGAACCGTAACAGAACCGATATTTGTCATGACGCTGTGGACCGGAACCGGAACGGAACCGATATTTCATTTCGGTCCGGGTCCCTGATCTGGGGGCCCTAGGCACTTTTAAATTTGGGGGCCCCTATCCCCATTTTTGAAAATGTCAAAAAAGGCAACAATAATTATTCAGAACAGAATTTGTTTATACCAGAAGAAAAAAAAATTAAATTACAAAGTTGTTTGATTCTCTATGTATTAGTTAAAAATATTCCGAAGATTAAATTTAACTGAAATTTTTAATCATGGATTAAATTCAAAGTTGGTGTTAAATGATAGTCTATGAAAATCTTGGATAGGAATGTAAAATCGGTTTTCTTCTAAAATTTACCGTTTAGGTTTTACAGCCTGTCAAAGTTGCAAAAAATCAATTTTTAACTGTCAATATTTCCAAAACAGTTGAACCTAGGTATAGGGTAAATTTCATGAAATCTGGTCAGAATTTTATTACGTAGAATCCAAATATTCAATCACATACAGGGTGTTCCACTTAAAATAAGAAAGTTCTGTCGCATATTCCATAAACGGAGCTCCCTGATATTCAAAAATATTTTTAACTAATAGAGTATCTAACAACTTTGTAATTTAATTTTTTTTCTTGCATCACCATGTAAGGAAATATCGTCCGATATCGCACTAAGTGGACACCCTGTATATATCAAAAATAACAAAATGAAACACATATTTTTAAGTGCATATACAAACAAATAAGTAACCTTTGCATATATACAGTGTGTCCACTTAAGCTCGCAGCATATGGGAAACTTTTTTATTATTAATTTTACGAAAAAAAGTTATTCTCTATAAAAGTTTCTGCTTCTCGAAAAAATAATATTAAACTACTAAAACTTGGAATAGATGTACAGGGTGGTCAACAAATAAAAAAATATACAGAATTTTTTGATAAAAAACGGTATAAGTAGAAAAAAAATGGCACGTCACTATTTTTTAAAACCTTTTATATTTTTTTCAGATTCAGCAAGCCATATTAAAGTCAAAAGATACCTTTCGTTATCACAAACAGACCTGCCATTTTTTTAAACTAACCGTTCGCCCAGATCCCGATTTTCCTGCATTCAAGTCTTTAAATATTCACTCTGCATCTCAAAAAGTATATTATAACAAAATAAACTGTAATTAGCTTGAAAATATTCCAAATAAACTCAAGATAAACAAACAAACGTCAAATTTTCCACGGTCGCCATATTGAAAAATCACGTGGTTTGGAGAGCCTATGCCGGATGAAACATTCATCAAAATAAAAGTGCCATCGATGTTAACATACACTTTAAAGCAGGGATGTGCCGTAGACTATGAAATCTACTTTACGCGGTTTGTCTACTCATTCTTTACGTATTGTTTACATCCACTTTTTTCCACTATGTAAACTATGTAGACAATGTAGACTATAACGGAAAATTTGAAATTTGAGTTTTTTTTAAATTTTGCATTGCATTAAATTTATATTGTATTCAATTAGTCATTATCTGCAGTTTAATTAACTTACAAGGCAAAAAACAAAACAAAGCAACAACCAATGAACTATAGCCAAAAACTGGAATGCGCACACATTGCCATATCTGCCAAAAAAATGTAGCCATGAAAGACAGATGCCATAAGGGGGAATGTTGTTTTTTTCTGTTGCTCGCTGACATATGACGTTTTCGAAAGATTTGTCATATTTTCCTTCACAGGTTTCATCAATTGGAATACGTGTTGGAAGCAATTTCCGCCATTTAACATAATGAGTGCAACAGAAACAGGTTTCCCCTCCGCAGCAGCGGCACTAGGCTTCATGTTCGTCAATATGTGTACGCATTCCAGTTTTTGATTATACTTCATTGGCAACAACAGAAACATAACCTTAAACGCTGTCAACTGTCCAAAATTGTATACTTTACGCAATGAACTATAACCAAAAACTGGAATGCTAACACATAAGGACGAACTTGAAGCCTAGTGCGGCTGCTGCGGAGGGGATACCTGTTTTTGTCGCACTCATTATGTTAAATCGCGAAAATTGCTTCCAACACGTATTCCAATTGATGAAACCTGTGAAGGGAAATATGACAAAACTTTCGAAAACGTCATATGTCAGCGAGCAACAGAAAAAAACAACATTCCCCCTTGTGGCATCTGTCTTTCATGGCTTCATTTTTTTGGCAGATATGGCAATGTGTGCGCATTCCAGTTTTTAGCTATAGTTCATTGACTTTACGCAATGAACTATAGCTAAAAACTGGAATGCGCACACATTGCCATATCTGCCAAAAAAATGTAGCCATGAAAGACAGATGCCACAAAGGGGAATGTTGGTTTTTTCTGTTGCTCGCTGTCATATGACGTTTTCGTAAGTTTTGTCATATTTCCCTTCACAGGTTTCATCAATTGGAATACGTGTTGGAAGCAATTTTCGCCATTTAACATAATGAGTGCGACAAAAACAGGTATCCCCTCCGCAGCAGCCGCACTAGGCTTCACGTTCGTCCTTATGTGTTAGCATTCCAGTTTTTGGTTATAGTTCATTGACTTTACGCGTTGTCTACATATTTTACACGTTGTCTACATAGATTACATAGTTTACATTGTCTACGCGTTGTTTACACCAGAACGTAGACAACCTTTAATTACGCGTAGATGCCCATCCCTGCTTTAAAGCTCTTTTTTTGTCTGATTTAAGGCGTTGTAAAGCACTTGACAATATATCACTTCGTTAATGTTATAATGTTCGATTTGTATTGTCTGCATTTGTTCTGCAAGAATACAATCTGGCTACACTGCAGTTACGATTTGCGCGCGCATGTCATTTTTTATTACTTTCTAACTTGTATTTATTACAATCAAGCTCTCTTTTTCTATTTCTGCGAGACACGTCAATTATTATTTGAATATTATTTTATTCAATATTTTTGATATTATCATTTATTATGTGAATAATTTTTTATAAAAATTAACGACGGAGCCCCCTATGACAGGGGGCCCTGGGCCAGGGCCCAGCTGACCCATTCCCGAAGATGGCACTGCAAAAGTTCGCGGAATTATAACCTGTAGTGCTAACAGCCTCACCGTCAAGGCGAGAAAGTACCTACACTTGGCCAATCATAAAACAGGGCTGGGATCACGACAAGTAGAATTCTACTAGAATTCTACTTTCATGACGTCAAATTGCCTAGCAACCGTCATCATCGTCTATACTGTACGAGATAAATAGGTCGCGGGTGACATCATGAAAGTAGATGTAGAATGCTACTTGTCCTGATCACAGCCCTGGTAGGTACGCATTCTCCTATTGTGTTGTTTTGTGTAAATCAACTTTTTTATCGCCTCAACAATGACAAAAGGAGTCAATAAGTCAGTGTCATATTTAAACCAATCGTAACATAAAACATATGTTGCACTTTTGTTCAGCTTTGACGTTGACAAAAACTGTCTAGGAGTAGTAATATGGAGATGGAAAATGAAGCTGTTTTTTTCCAGGTATTTCGGCACCAAAAAAATGGTTGTATAGGAAATTCAATGCTTTACATGTATTTTGGTGCCAAACACCTGCCAAAAGCTTGGCTTCACTTTTATGGGGTTTCCGATTGGTATTTGCATCCTTTTAATCGACCCGTAGAAGAAAAAGATAGAAATAGAAAAAATTACACTAGTTCCGCACTAGATATACCTACAGTGACTCTATTACCCACAGTGGCGACAATGGCAGCAAATATCCAGTTAAGTTCCCCAAAATTTTGTAGAGGGCGCGAGTGAACTTGGAGTGTTTTGAATTTTGGCGGTAAATGTCAATAGTTTTAAACTGTTTTAATCTTGTTTTAATAAGTAGAAGGAAAGATAACTACATATGAACAATGAACAGTGAATAGATTAAAATATCTTCCAAAACGTTCAGTGGCCCTTAAAGAATATTTTCAAAAGTGTCAGCGTCGTTGAAACCACACATCAAACTTGACTTTTGAGGTTAAAATTACATGCGATTATTCACGCGCCAAAATTTAAAGACCTCCAAGTACACAAGCGCCCTCTTCAACTCAACTGTCAATATTACATGCCATTGCTGATTGCTGTCTTATTTTTGATTGGTTCTAAAATCCCATATATTTATATTGGAAATGCGGCCATCTTGTTGCCACCTATTGCTAATTC